TGTGTCTGAACCCTAAAATAGTGAATGGCAAATGACAGAAAAAAGGAATGTGACACTATTATTTAAATGTCTTAAAATGCTAAAACCAAATGCTAATATCCTTATAGTTATCCATGTGTGAAAAATACATATTTGATGATTTCATATTTTTTCAGGCTTGAAAATGACATTCCAGAATGAATGAGTCTTCACAACTAAAAGGGGTAAATTAATAGTCTTTGTTCTCAAAGCAATGATACACCTGCGATTGGATGTAGAAAAGTCAGAATCAATATAGATGTTTTTATTTTAAAGTAAATTCAGATTGAACATAGTAAAAAAATGTAAATTATAGTTTCTGTCCAAAAAGAATCCATTACTTATAGTGAAAACCACCCTTGAGTGATGGCATGGTAGACTAAAAGCTTTAGGAATCCAAACTATAACATATAATAAGTACCCTGTATCAAGATTGATGCAAAACAAGTGACATTTGACCTTTTTAGAGATTTAGAAATAAAAAGTTCCTCAGCTATGCTTTGTACCTGAACATGATCCGACTCACTCTGTGCTCCAGGCTGAATGGTTGTTGGTACTTGCAGGTGCACACTTCACATAGAAACCTGTAAAACAGCATGTCTCTCACCTGAGGGATGAGGCTGACGTGGATGTTGCAGAAGTTGTCTCTCTTCACTTTGAACTGGAACTGCCTGAAGGCCTCGATGAACGGCATGCTCTCGATGTCTCCCACCGTGCCGCCCAGCTGCAAGCAGACGCACGATAACATAAGGAACACATCATTAGCAAAGGCCTTAAATAAGCTTAATTAACAACATGTAGCCTAGTGGTCCACGTTACGGAGCATTTATACCTCTATTACACAGACTTCAGGTTCTACCCCGTCATCTTCCACGGCAACCTTGGCCTGCTTCACCACCCACTCCTGGATGGCATCTGTGATGTGTGGCACCACTGGAAGAGACAGAAGCATATTATTATTTATGTTAGTTAAATATTTCTCTGTATCAAGAAACCCTTTACGAAGCTTAGTCCACATCACAGTAATCACAACACCGTATTGTGACTACAGAGAATAAGCGACAGTGCTTGCTGCAAATTAATAATGTAGTTTAACTTGACTTTTGTCGACACACAAACAGTGCTTTTGTGAAACCCCTCGCGGCGGGAGGATTATCAGAGCTCTATTTTCAGTGTTCACATGTAGACAGGGAACGTTTTAGGCCTTTAATGCGCTCCGTTATCTCCTTGGTGATGTGTCACTAGAGAGGCAACATTTTGTGCAACGGCGGAAACGGACTGATTCATTTGCAAAACCTAAAAATAAAAACATGAATGAAATGAAAAGCAAGGAAGGGCAGGAAAAGTGTTGGGTGGAGTTTACATTTCTACCTAAATCTTATCGTCTAACCATTTCCTGTTATATAACTAAAGCATGTTAGTTATCATGTTAGCAGCACTATAGCATGTTAAATTAACCACTACATAGGGCTGGGCGATATATCGAGTTTTGAATTTATATCGATATATTTTCATGCGCGATATAGGATTACATCATATCGTATATATCGATATATATTAAAACAAGCTGCAAGTTGCTGCAAACTCCGCTGCAAACTCTCTCTGCCCCGCGGCCCGCCTCTCTGTATCTCCAAGCAGCAGCAACGGCGCCCTGCCGCCTCCACCATGACATACTAGGTGTCAAATTTATCAAATAGAACCCAGTTATAATTCTGTAGAAACACACGTAATGTCAGTCTGACACTCCAAACACTGTACCTACTCTCGTTGTCTACTCTCTTGTCACCTAAAATTTATGTAACAAAAAAATTCTATCGTGTCCAGAATTTGATATGTCGCAAGTAAGAAACAACGACCAAAAATCGATTGTATGAAATGGTTGTGCGGAAATTAAATGTGTAATTGTGTTTGGTACGTATCAAATTAAGGCAAATTCAATAAAATAAAATAATTGTAATAAAAGATTAAAGATAATCAATTAAGTTATAACGTGAGTGGCTACCGGTCCACTTCAAGACACAGGGTTTTGTGAGTAGGAGTAGGTGGAACAATTCAGCGCGAACGAAATTTGGTGTAATCAGGGCAACAGACAACAATATCGCTGGTCTAGGCAACTAAACCTCGAAGGTCAAATGCTCCTGTAGCGACGTCCCTGAAGTCGATACACAAGGGGCCACACCAAGGACCCTTCATCGACCAAGGACCTCTGCCGTGAAAATTAAGGGTGGTAGATCCTTTACATAACAGGTGTGAGTCATGCCCGAGCTCCAGGGACGACCTGTCTATAAGCCACAGTCACGCTTCACTCTGTGATCTCGCTCGGGCCCGCTCCTCTGCGAGAGAGTGAAGCACATGTAGAGCCCGTCCCGAAGAGAACGTTTCATTAAAGCTGGTCCATTGACGCATGGACCCAGATGTCGAACAATCAGTCGAAATGTTTCGGCAGACGAGGTGTCAGCTGCACCCTGGTACAGAAACCCGATTCACTAACGGTGACGGAAGGCAATAAAGTGCGGTGAAAAGCGAAAAAAAGTATTCCGTGTGGTGCACACTCACTCAACCACATCGCACTAAACGAAAACTCCGTCCTCCGACTGTTCCAGAAGTCGCCGACCCAACGGTCGTGCGTCAAATTATGTGAGAGTATGACCGTGAAACACGAAGACAACATCACCACCTTCTCTAAACAACACGAGCTGGAAAGCAACGTTAAAAAAGGCCGTAAACAGATGGTATTCAGTCAAAAGACGAGGTGCAGACGCGAACTTTTGGTTTGGTAGAGGTTTACTCTCCGGCAAACAAAAGAAAGAATGTTGGTCAAGTAGAGCAAAAGACTAAGTGGAAGAGAGCGAAACAGAGGGGGGAGGTAGAGGCCTACAAGCGACGACGACGGTACGAAGAAGTACGTTTACAGCTCCACCCCCACTCTCGCTCCCNAAGCAAGGAAGGAGGGGGAGAAAGAAAGAATTGAGGGAGGAAGGATGGAAGAAAGAAATCAGGGACAGAAAGAATATGAAATGAAGGTAGTAAGGAGAAAAGAAGCAAGGAGGGAAGAAATTATAGAAGGAAAGAAGCAAGGAAGGAGGGGGGGAGAAAGAAGGAACAGAGGGAGTGAGGGAGGAATGAAGGACAGAAGGAGGGAGGGAAAGAAGGATTTGAAGATTGAAGGAAGGATGGGGGAGAGAAGGAAGGAAGGCAGTAAAGAAGCAAGTAAGGCGGGGGAGAAAGCAGTAATTGAGGGAATGAGGGAGGATGCAAGAAAGAAGGAAGAATGGTATCTTTATTTATTTATGCTGGTAGTTTTTGTTCCTGAATTATTTCATGCATGTTGATGTGCAGCTTCTAAACGTTAAATAAAGTGCCTGTGTGAGGTTTGGCTTCAAACTAGGACTGTCTGTTTTGTTTTTACTTTACGGAAAAAATATCGAGATATATATCGTATATCGCCATTCAGCTAAAAAATATCGAGATATGAATTTTGGCCCATATCGTGCAGCCCTACCACTACATGGCGTCAGCTGTGAGCTTTTGAATTAACGTCCCATGATGTTTTGTAAATGCAGTTTACTGTAGGTGCTGCCGTCTGCATACACTTTTTTTTTTTAATATAATCAATTAAACATGGTATAATAATTGATTATTCCGAGGTATAATGAGAGACTTTTATATCAATGGTCTCGACAAAGCTTCAATTGAGTCTCTCAGTGTCCATTTAAACAAACAGAGAACTAATCTGGAGGAACAAAACTAAGAACAAGTTTTCAAAAATCCCTGCGTACATTAGAATTAGTCGTTAAACAGAATGTTGTTACCCTGCACAGTCTTGCCCAGGTAGTCCCCCCTCCTCTCCTTGTTGATGACTGACTGGTAGATCTTCCCGGTGGTCAGGTTGTTGTCTTTGGTCAGCCGGATGTCCAGGAAGCGCTCGTAGTTCCCCAGATCCAGATCCACCTCGCCGCCGTCGTCCAGCACGAACACCTCCCCTGCGCGACAAACACAACACGTTTACAACATGCTGCAGTTTAATCACACATGTGCCGAGTCATCATCTCCTGGGACGTACCGTGCTCATAGGGGGAAAACGTGCCGGCGTCTATGTTGATGTACGGGTCGATCTTGATGGCGGTCACATGCAGACCGCAGGACTTCAGGATCGTCCCCACGCTGCTCGCTATGATGCCTTTACCGATGCCTGAGATCACTCCTCCAGTAACCAGGATGTACTTCATCGTGCCACTCTGGTGTCTGCAGATCGGAGAAAACCTGTGGAAAAGGATCCAATGAAAGGAAAAATATCCTTTATCAATATTGGAATTGAACAGAAAGAAAGACATTTCAATTATACTGAGCAGAAAAATAGAAATCATTAAAATAATTTATAAAAAACTATATTCTACTAAGGTTAATTAGTACTTGTAGTTTTTAGTATTTTCTATGAAACAGGTGGTTGATCTTAACAGCTAATGAAAGCAACAACACGTCACTTACAATAAGGCTATTGTACTAGTAAAATAATAAATAAGACATTTAAAAAAGGCTTAAGGGGTCATTTAAAAGCAAAACAGTGAAGCCTTCTGAATTGCATGGGAAACAAATCATTATAAGACAAAGAAAAACATTAACAACAGATTAAGAACAATATTCAACGAAGATTCAAGGATGATATCTACTAGTATTGGAGTTTATAGTATCTGCTTCATCAGTAGTATTATCATTTGTAAGGCTTTTGTACTCGATAAAACATTACTGTACAAGGTATTTTAAATGTAGAAAATATACATATAGAAATAACTTTTGACACAAAGGTTAAACATTATACTTGCATTTATATGAAGATATCTGACAAAGTAATGAGTGTTGTAGCTCACATGAGGCCAAGTTAAAAAGCATGTCTATGAAGGACAAGCTAGCTAGTCATAACAATGGCTAAACCTCGATGTCCTTGTTCTACAACGTGGCTCTTTCTACCAGAACATATCAATTAGATCAGCATATAAACAATGCACATTTACCTCTTAAAACCACCGTTTGATAATAATCTAATGAAGTTAAAAGATAGAAGTTTTTTCATCCTTCACAAAACAGATCGTCACGCATGGTACATAAGGAGTATTTGATTTAATACACAGTGTGGGCCGAGCAGGTGGGGACTTCCTCATTCCGTTGTGTTATAGAGGGAACAGAGAGTAACCGCCCGCACAGGATACTCGCGTGAATAAATCCAGCCACAGTTCCACAGTATTACCGCCCGCGCGATTAGCTTCGGGCTAACTGTTAGGGATAATACGATAATTACAATAAGACACCCAAAATAAATGCTTCTGAAGTGTCGGTGGGTAGAAAACGGACACGGTCAACTGTAACTGACTTCAATAATAGAGTTAAAATATAAAAAACCGTCTGCATTTCGAAAAACCCACATCAAGCCCGACTAAAATATCCAGCATCGCCTTCAAAATAAAAGCGGTGTAGATTTGTATTTACTTTTATACAAAGAGAAGAGCAACCAAACTGCAAAATAGTTGAAATAAACATATATAATAGGGTTTTGTACAACAGTGTTATGTTAGGAGTCTGTTGTTAAAGTTAAATCGGTCGTTATATAACAGTGTTATTTTATTTTGAAAATGTGTACCGGCAACCATGTGTTATGTTCAGCTTTTATGCAAGTGTTTCACAGCATCAAACATCAACTTACCAAAAATATTCTTCTCTTCAAAAAAAAAATATCGACGAGGAAAAAAAGCTCACAAAACCTTTTACCAAAACAAAGTATCGATCCAAATGAAACGCTTTTTAAATGCTCCCTAGAAGAGCCATGTATCCTGCAGCTGATTCTACACGTGTCTGCAGCAGAACATCATTCATGAGTTCATTACACACCAACATTTTCTTCCTCTTCTTCTTCTGTGGGGTTTTACTGCTCTGCTGCCACCTCATGGAGCCAATGCATCACTCAGCATCATTTTTACCAGAGGTGGAACAAGCATTCAGATCCTTTAAAACACCAATTTAAAAATACTTTATTTACAAGTACAAGTTATTTATCCTATAAACATCCTACTTAATAAGAGGCAGAAGTGGAAAAGGTGCTTGGATTAGGTAGGTAGGTAGGTGTATAGCAAAAATAAACTTTAATTATGAAGAATACAACACTTTAGACACATATTCACATCAACTAGTTGTTAATTAACATGCATATTAGAGCCAAACTACTATCTTATTAGTGAACATATTCTGAGTTAGAAAATACAAAATGTTAAGTTATTTTGACACAATTAACACTTGTAGTTGCATGTCTTGCTACATCAGAATATACCATATTTGTTCAGTGTTATTATGGGAGAATTACTATTGTTGTGGTACTGCTGCTGCTTTATTATGCCCATATTGAGCAGAGCATATTAAGACCAAAACTCATGTACAACAACTTCCTTACTTACAATAAATAAGCACTAATTAGAGGGTTATTGAGGAAAAACTCTCAACTAATGGCCTAGTACTTGTAGAATATGGTCATGTAGAATGAGGCATTAATAAGTGGTTTATAATGACTAATAACAATAATCACAAATATTTTTTGTTTTTGTTTTGTTTGTCTACCCTCCCTCCCAAATGTAAAGCGTCTTTGGGTTCAAGAAAAGCGCTATATAAATATAATGTATTATTATTATTATTATTATTATTAATAAAGAGCCAATATACTGCTAATTTGCATGTTAATTAACAACTAGTTGATGGTGAATATGTGTACCAAAGTGTTACCAACCCTTGTTATGTACTCAAACACAGTACTTGAGTAAATATACTTAGTTACCCACCTTTGTTACAATATTTCTACCCTGTGGTATTACTAGTGAATACTTTTTCCACCCCTGCTCAAACTGTACTACACTGCAGTACTTAAATATATATAATGAGTACATTTCTACTGGAGGTGGACAAAGTACTCAGACGTTTTTCAGGCAGCAGGGGGAGCTCATGTTTCACATTTCAAGATGTATTTCTTTCTTTATATCCCTCATGTAGAAAGTCCTTCAGCCAGCTGTTTATCTCCACATATTATACAAGGTATTTATCAGCATTACAGTTAAAGCTCCTTGCATTATTCATAACTTATATTATATTATAACGGCAGCAAATCAAAACGCCACAAGCTTTGCACACTTTATCGTGTACTTCATTGAATCCATGATAATAATACTGTGATATAATAAGAATAAGCATCAGTGTCACACAGACGCAAGGGTGTAACTTTGGTTTGAGAAGAACAAGGGGTCCTCCGCAATGACATTTTTTCTCAATTTAATTCAATTTCCTGCCTTTCTACCAATATATTAGGGACTATAGTGTTAAAAAATCCAAGAAAGATGTGTAGTGTATATAATGAGCGTCGTGGCTTCCTTCCTTGTCTTTCCATCAAGCCACTAGACGCCTAAACAGGCATTTCTAACTCGTTTCTTTCCTTTAAATTACTCACAGTTTGAAGTGTTGCTTGGCCTCCGATGGTTTAGATGATGTCGCGATGTGTTTCCTCAAAATAAAATAACAAACTTTTGCACATGCAACAAAGAAAATAGGCCTTTACAATATTCAAAAGAAATAGGCAAAACTCAAATAAAATAACAAACAACTTAGGTATTCTTTCTTTCTTGATAATACTTATAACTTCACAACTTAAATGGTACTTGTACGGTTTGTATGTACGTGTACGGTACGAATACGAGTACGGTTACGGTTAAAAACTGTTTCTCGATGGCGTCTCTCAACAGGTTGCCCATCACTGTGGCTTTAGCACAGGCGCCGTGGGAAATGTAGTCCTTTATAGTGCGGTTGACTACAGACGTCACAATTAGGTGGCCTTTCTTATAAAATCAAAAATACTGGCTCTAACAATGAGTGTGCACACTTATCTATCCTATCCATGTGAACCTGTTTTATTTGTGATGACCTCACATCCTCTAGGGGGGTCCGGGGGCATGCACCCCGGGAAGATTTTTTTCTTTACATTGAAGTTAAAGCATCAATCTGGTGCACTTTGAGGGCAACATTAAGAGATGTATGGATACAGCTCTCAACACTCATATGAAACAGAACTGTATGTATTTCAATAATCAATAAACCATTAGAATATGCTCACAAGAAATAAAACATATTTGATCAACTCCTCTCTCCTATCTTTATCTTAGTCTGCATTCTTTCTTTTTATTTATGCATATTTGACTAATTACTCCCCTTTCAAACTGTGTTTTTTTTTTTTTTACTGACCTATAGTACACATTGGAAGGATTTCTTAACTTATTTTTTATACAACTAATATTACATAGATGGAAATATTTGTTTACATAGATGACCAAACCGTTTGAGACCCACTCAGATAACTTAGACTAAAGTTTACAATCTAATCGCTCAGAGTCCTTTACCTCCCTGAGCTGACGTTATCTCTCTCAGTCCCAGGAGAGAGCTCTCCCTCTCCTTATTGTTGAAACAACTTCTAATCTCCGTTAGCTCCGAGTTAGCATCAAATGCTAACAACAACCCCCGTAACTTTCTCTCTCTCTCTCTCTCTCTCTCTCTCTCTCTCTCTCTCAAAGTCCGACAGGAAAGAGCTCTCCCTCTATACTTATTGTTGAAATAGCTACTAATCGCCGTTAGCTCCGAGCTAGCACCATATGCTAACAACAACCCCCGTAACTCTCTAAGTCTGTCTCTCTCTCTTTCTATCTCTCTCTCACAAAATGCACTCGTGCCTCACACACAGACGCTCCTCCGTGACGATGACCGCTTGCGAAAAAAATAAATAATAAACACATTTAAAAAGTGGGGGGGATACAAATGGGATTTTGAAGAGTGGGGGGGACATGTCCCCAGTGGAAATTACGCCCATGCACAGACGTAACAAAGCATCAGAGGAGAGGATCTCAGAGCAGGAACACTGGGGATGTTTTCCTGCTGGGTTACAACCTTTATATAAACAGTGTATGGTTACAACACACAGCTTCCTCTTTCTCCGGACACAAAACCGCACTCTGTGCTCCGTTAATAAAGTGGTTAGTTAGAGTCAGTGTTCCTGTGGAAAAGGTCAGTGGATCTGTATATTTCCAGAGGTGAAGTAGCTAAGTGTCATTATAAAACATATCAATATTATTCTGAAATGGACCAATCTGCACAATGACTACTTTGACTGTCGCTACTTTCACTATATTTTGATGATAATACTTTTCTACTTTTACTTGGGAATGAAGGACTTTTACTGTAACAGAGTATTCCTACACTCTGGTACTTCTACTTTTACTCAAGGACAAGATCTGAGTACTTCTACTTTTACTCAAGTACAAGACCTGAGTACTTCGAACGTTTACTCAAGTACAAGATCTGAGTACTTCCGCGTTTGCTCAAGTACAAGATCTGAGTACTTCTACGTTTACTCAAGTACAAGATCTGAGTACTTCGAACGTTTACTCAAGTACAAGATCTGATTACTTCTACTTTTACTCAAGTACAATATCTGAGTACTTCTACTTTTACTCAAGTACAAGACCTGAGTACTTCCGCGTTTGCTCAAGTACAAGATCTGAGTATTTCTACTTTTACTCAAGTACAAGATCTGAGTACTTCCGCGTTTACTCAAGTACAAGATCTGAGTACTTCCACATTTTTTTCTCTAACCTCCCATTTTCAAAATATTAATATTATTAGTATGTATTGTTGTATTTTCTATATCTAACTTCTCCAGGTTTATGTATAAATGTAATTGAATGAATTGTATTTTACTCTTATATGGAGCAATTGTAACAGAATACATATTATTACATATTTATTTATTTAAAATAATAAAATGGAGCAACAATTCCCCGTTATGAGTTACTAACATTTTTCAGATTGTGAGAAGGTCTTTCATTAAGGTGAACCACCAGGAGTTTATCTATCCATATGGATCATCTTAGTTAAATGGGCTTTAAAAGGGAAAACAGCAACAAAATATATCAAATAACATGGAAGTCATCTTTCAATTTTCACCCTAGCTAAAAGATGAAGGTCGATTGAGGTAGAAAGTTAAATAACTGGCCTCCTCTTGGTTTAATAAGTAAAATGTCTGTCTTTTTTAAGCTGTTAGTCATTACCAATGATAATAGTGTATTATCCTCGCTGTGCTCAGTGAGATATGAAGCACAAGCTCTGCTGTCTCACTTTCCTCAAACTGTGAGTGGTTTGGGATTAAACAACGAG